GAAAATAATTCATATCTTGTGGAAAAAGTCACAGAGCCTGCAACTTTCTGCCTAAAACACCAGCCAGTTATACAGATCATAATAGATCCTGTTTCTGGACTTGAATAATACTTTTTTTTAAGATAGGGCAAAGCGAAGTTATCTTACAGCTCATTTTAAAAAAGAAACCTAAAATGAAGTATGACTTAGAATACTTTTTGAGTCATCTTGTCATGAACATGGCAACAGTTAATATTCAGTACAGCTACAAATCTTATATAAAGGTGGATCTTAGTTTTACTTTTCCACAGGTTAACTATGTAATTGCTTTTCTCCCTTCTCATCTGTAAAGAGATTGTCCAGTATAATCACTGAGAGTCTACGAGTCTATGGATTTCTAAAACAGGACTAGGTTTTTTTCACCAGTCACATTACTGTCCTATAGGATTTGTAGCCTCCACATCACATGTCAAAAAACTAATAAACATCTTGTATTTATTCAATGCCTGGTACTTTTCCAGTACATTGGTTTGCATTAGAGATCCAGGTATGGAACAGACCAATCCCACGCAATAGGAGCTCACTGGAAGGCAGTTTATATATGCATTATCTCATTTGCTTCTCAGTAATGTTTAAGTATTTTGCAACGGAGGAAAATGGGGCTTGGGAAGTTAAATGACTTACTCAGAGTCACATGATTAGTAAAATGACAGAACTAAAATAAAACCACATCTTCTAACTCCAGGAATTTTTCTATTGTACTAAAAATAGTTTACAAAGTTCCTCTGGCCAACATTCTAGAGCTGAGGTTAAATTTTAGCCCATTATCACCATCATCAGCTAATATTTTTAAGTGCCTATGATACAGGGAAAAATAAAATATCGCTCTTATCTAGGAAAGACATATTATCTCATTAAAAACAATCACACTGAAAAAAAAGATCATGAACTTATTTTCAGTATAAATGACTGTGTCTGAGTTACTGAAAAAGGAGGATCCTTAACTGATGATCTACAGCAATAGTGGGACTTTCTTGCTGTCATCCATGAAAATGAACTTTAAAAAAATATTTCATCTTTCTCTTTCTCTGCTGAGGGCTTAGTCCGGCTGAACTTGCCATATGTTGTCTTTGTGTCTGTTTAATTTGTCAAGCCAAGCAGAGGGTTTTTCAGTGGCTACAACATAAAGCCCAAACCTCTAATTTTATAAACTAAAAACATATCACAAGAACAAGTAGAGTGTTAGGACACATTTTGGTGCTTAATTTTCTCATGTTGAATAAAAATATAACTGTTAGTCCCTATGCAGAATTTTCCTAAATAATTTTTGTACATACATGTTGTGCACCTGCCACACATTCAGAAAATCGAACTCCAGCTTTAGTGCCTACGGGTCTCTTTAATACTCCCACCTAGGGGTCTAGCCTAGAGAACATGTTTTCTAGCTGGTTCGATGGTAGTGGGTTATCAGAACTTATTAACATTAGTGTCACTAAAGTTGGTATTCAACCCCCCACTGATAAATTTGACTGGATTTTATAAAAAAGAAAAGAGAACATGTTTTCTTCTCCATGTCTCCAGTTCTACTGCCCATTCCCACATCCCAAATAAGGTACTGATATATATGAATATAAGTATAGTGTCTTAAATGTTTACAATTTTAACTTATTAATATTACAATTATTTGCACAGTTTTTTATAGTTATGAAAATCAATAGCCTAACTGAATTTTACAACACCCTTGTAAGAGCAACTCCTCACTACCACCCTCCCCATTTTACATATGAGAATATAGTCCAATGTAGTAAGTGATTAACCTGTCTGAGGTTATGTAGCTTGTAGTCTTTAGAACTAGAAGCTAGGGCCAGGGTGTCTAGGGACAGAATATCTTTATCATGTGGTTCACTACTCCACAGACAGTAGATAAGTGACATTATACAGTTTATTTTTAAATTCTTTTGTAACTTATCTTATACCATACACAAGAATCAACTCAAAATGGATAAAAGTGCACATAAAACTCCTAGGAGAGAACATAGGAGAAAAGTACGTTGGCATTGACCATGGCAATGATTTTTTTGGCTATCACACCAAAAGCTCCGGCTACAAAAGCAATAATATATAAATGGGACTACATCAATTTAAAAGTTTCTGCACAGCAAAGGAAACAATCAACAAAATGAAACTGCAGCCTGCAGACTTGGAAAAAATATTTGCAAACCACATATCTGGTAAGGGGTTAATATCCAAAAGTTATAAAGAACCCTTACAACTCAATAGCAGAAAAATAATCTGGTTAAAAATGGGCAAAGGACCCAAACAGACATTTCTCCAAAGAATACATAAAAATGGCCAAGAAGTATTTGAAAAGGTGTTCAACATCACTAAGTACCAAAAAAACGCAAATTAAAACTACTATGAGATATCACCTCATACCCAGTAGGATGGCTGTTAATCAAAAAGACAAGAGATTACAGATGTTGGCACGGTTATGGAGAAAGGGGAACCCTAGTACACTGTTGGTGGGAATGTAGATCGGTACAGACATTATGGAAACTGGAGGTTCCTAAAGAAATTAAAAGTAGAACTACCATATGACCCAGAAATCCCTCTTTTGGGTACATACCCAAAGGAGATGAAATCACCACCTTGTAAAGATTCTGCACTCCCATGTTCATTGCAGCATTATTCTCAACAGCCAAGATATGGAAACAATCTCGTTGTCCATCAACAGATGAATGGATAAAAATGTGATATATATACAGAGGAATATTATTCAGCCTTAAAAAAAAGGAGGCCGGGCGCAGTGGCTCACGCCTGTAATCCTAGCACTCTGGGAGGCCGAGGCGGGCGGATTGTTTGAGCTCAGGAGTTCGAGACCAGCCTGAGC